ATGATTAAAACTACTACTTTACCTGGAAATATTGACCAGGAATTTACATAATTCCTTTAATTGTTTCTTCTCATATTTCAGTTTCCTTAATCTTTTCTATTTTTTCATGTTTCATCCATTTTTCATTTCTGTATTCTTTCATTTTTCATTCAAATATCCTTTCATTTATTCTCATTATTCTAAAGGATTTACTTGATCTTGAAGAAGAAGCAAAATCTTTATTTTTCATTTTTCATTCAAATATCCTTTCATTTATTCTCATTTTTCTAAAGGATTTACTTGATCTTGAAGAAGAAGTCAAATCGGAGGCAGAGGAGGAAGAAGACGTGAGTTTTTTTCGTACAATTTTGCATTCACAAGATGAAATCCATGTATTTTCTAACATTTCTAAGATGTTAATTTCATGTATTGATCTGTCTAGTCATCAGAGTATGAGGAATACACGGATTCAGAGGAAGAATCAATGGGGCCAAGATTAAAACCAGTGTTCGTCAGAAGGTATGTGTATTACAGTAACCTTTCAGTTCCAGCCTTCTCACTATGTAACTCTATTCCCTCCTTATGGCTTTCTTTTCTCTTCCTTGGCTCCTTTGTACTCTATCTATCTTGTTATATACCTATTTCAAAAAAGGTTGTCGGATAAAATGGCGAATGGAAATTGTCAAACGGCGATTGCACGATCGAAAGGAGCCATGGGTTTTGCTAATGGATGGGGAATAATAACTTAATTTTTACCGTAAGATTTCCTATGGTCATCATTGGCTCCATTTAGTCTCCCTTTTAACACAAGTAAACCAAACAATTGATTTTTTGTATGTCAAACAGCGTAACCGTAGTCCCTTTCGGTCGTGCATTCTCCCTTCGACAATCGCCGCTCGCCGTTCTCCCTGACAAGGTTTATTGACAGAGAGAATAATTGTGATGTCTGTCAAGGAGAGTACATGTAGAACAGGACATATCAGGAGGACAAAGCAATGGATTATCTCTGCCATAGTTGTGTAAAAAGATAAATTTAACACCGTAAAAAAGTAGGTGAAACAACTTACTGACGTTCGTCTTAACGACGACAAAGGATTAACATCCGCAACGGCATTTAGTTGTTTCACCTACTTTTTTACGGTGTTTAATTTATCTTTTGACACAACTGTTTATTTAGAAACACTGACGAAGCTCACACTAGTTTACCGCTAGTTTCCACAATTAATAGAAGCAACAAGCTTTTGTTTTGTTTCCTAATGACAGAAAATCAAATACAAAATGTTCTGATTACTAGAACTTCTGAACCTTTTACGTCACTACTTGATTTTCAATGCATTGTGGGATCAGTTTCAAGAGAAAACAAAAGAAATCCGCCATTTTCTGTCCCAAACATATCCTACAATGCATTGCGTATACGGTACATGACGTAAAAGCTGCAGAGGTCTATTTAGCCTCTTAAAAAGCGTAGAAAAGGTGGTTTCACTTTCTCATATCTAACATGCTTGTATGTTTTCCAGGAGTGATAGAGTGACTGTCCAAGAAAGAGAAAAAATGGAAATGGATGAAGAATTGAAAGAAGAAAAGAAAAAGAAAATAATGGAAGACAGACGGAAAACGTCACGACGACTAGTTGAAGACTTGATCAGAAAAGAAAGACAGGAAGAAGCTGGAGGTACTAAAACATGCCTTACTACTACCCCCAAGGGAAAGTTTGAGCCTTACTACTACCCCCACGGGATTTAAACTATCTGAAAACTTGTTGAACCACATGTTTTATATTGATTGTGCTTCATATTTTTATTTCACAGTGGAAAAAGAGGAAGATGTTGTTATCTCGGACACAGAAAACGACGAAGAAGCTGTGAGTTATTAGTCAAAAATAGCTAGCCCGACTTCACGCTCTAAGAGCGTCTGGTTATGTTTTTAATACACCTTTTCAGTTGCACTTAGGCCTCGATAGCAAGTTAATTATTCTTTTGAATTTGACAAATGAGACTATTCATATCAATGTTTGCATTTCTCACATTCCTACAAATTCAAAAGAATATTTAACACGCTGTCGAGGCCCAAGAGCAACTGAAAAGGTGTATATAGTGAACGCTCCTTTAGTCCACATCTGGGTATTAACGGCACCTCGGTATTACGGACACCTCAATGTTAAGGACATACCGTTATTACGGACATTTTTAGTTAATGCCCCCTCGAAAGAAATAACTTAAATATAACCGTTGTATTAGTGGATGTTTGGATACTGACTTACAATCTCTAAGTTGTCGTTAATATTATTGTTATTTTTATTATTCTTTATTGTTATTGTAGATGCCAGCATGTCAATACAATATCGCTTCCCTTGTCTCACTTTCTATTTCCTTTCATTTTTTAAGTATGAAGCATGGAAAGTACGAGAACTTAAAAGAATCAAAAGAGATCGCGAAGAGCGAGATCAGTAAGTGTAGCGTCGAACTCACCTCGTTAAACCGGCCACCGCAGGGAATACCGATATGTGGACGTATTAATGGGGTAGATTTATTAACAGGGGTTTGAATTTTATGAGGTTTAATTTGCCGGGACATGGAATTCTGGCCGTATATGTATCAACGGGTTGGCCGTACTAAGCGGGAGTCCTTTGTAATTGAGTTTTCATTCTTTCTGAGCAGAATGGAGAAAGAACGACAAGAGACCGAACGACTTCGAAACATGACCGAAGAAGAACGACGACAAGAAATTAAAAACCGACCGAAACAAGTCACAAACAAAGCATCGAAAGGAAAATATAAATTCTTACAGAAATATTATCACCGTGGAGTGTTTTTCTTGGTAAATAGTTTGAATTAATGATGTGAATTTGATAGTTGATTTTACAATATTATGGTTAATGACGTGTATTCCTGTAATATCAATTTCACGGGTTTTTAGGACTTCACTTTACTATCAGAATGAATTCATAAAAATCCGTGAAATAGGTATTGCACGAATACGCCTTAGTACGCTCTAATTGCATTGTTTTCTTTTATGTTTATATAACTATCACACTTTGATAATCAAATTTTGTTTCACGGGTTTAATGATTTCACTCTAGTAGATTAATATTAAACTAACTTGTAAAGTCTGAAAGCGTGAAATTATACTAAACAAATAGCGCTAAATAGCTTCATACAACCATGCCTGGCGGTGATAACTTACGTAGATCCATCCCGAATAATTACATGGTAACAAACGATTTCATTTTGTTGTAGGATGAAGAAGATACCGTTTACAGGCGAGACTTCGCTTCGCCAACTCTTGAAGATCATTTTGATAAAACTATCTTACCTAAAGTCATGCAGGTAAGGGGGKGTGTGGCTTGTACTTAATGGGGAGTGAGGGGTGGGGAGATTTTGGTGCCCATTTGGCCTGAAATTAGGTTCCCAAGTATGCTATTTTAAGAGTGTAGTATCGTCCTATAGCCTCTCTATCTCCATCGCCCTGATGTTATCTGTATGTTATTGTTGTAATGTTATAGGTCAAGAACTTTGGTCGCTCTGGCAGGACAAAATACACTCATCTTGTCGACCAAGATACCACGAATGTAAGTATTGCAAGTATCTACGCTTGTTGTGACAGACAGACCAAAGACACGAGACACGAGATAGTAATACATGTAATCCGTTCCCGTATAGCAGTGTTTCGCGTCAAATCACTTTTTCGTCTTCATTTAAAGGGACACGGTCCACCAGCATTCAATGCGGTCGTGTTTTAGATTTTTCATATATGGAAAATGAGGTGATTTTGAATATCCATTCAAAATCAGTTTCCATTCATCGGTTTAAAGGTCGAATCTTACAGTATCTCCATTCATAAACTAAAGGGATAATAAAGAGCACGTTTTTGCTGATATTCCGATGGTATATAACTTTAAAAGATGAGCAAAAGCTCGAAAGGGATGCTGGTGGACCATGTACCTTTAAATCCACCAATTTAATTTTCTCTTCTCACTCACGGTCATTATTATTATTATTTTTTTCTATTTTAAGTTCGAATCAGCTTGGACACAAGACAATCCCCTCGCTCTTAAATTCCAATCTTTGCACTCAGGAGGAAGCAGGCAGTCCTTTGAAAGGCCTTCGAAGAAACGGAAGTGATATCACCATGTTCACATGACGCGATTGTATGTCATGTGATGATATGGAGAAAATCACGTGTTCATGTGGGGCAGAGCCACGTGACATAGAAATGATGTCCTCCCCCCCTCCCCCCCTACCCCCCTCAAAAAAGTCATCTTTCCTCGGATATTATTTCACGCCTTCATTCGCAATTCAGCCAGTATAAAGAAAATTCTTAAACAACGGTTTGAAAGTTTTTCCTTTGTAAATAAACCGTGATTATTATCAATTGTTCCTCGAAAAGTTGTCTTACTAATTTGGAATGAATTTGAGCCATTTTACTGCTTTTTTATTGTAAAATTTTATTGAAAGTCGACTCTAAATTTCTGCTATCCTAAATTCTGAAATTCCACTTAAAATAGTCGATTTGTATTTATGGCTTGAATGTATGAATTTAGACGACACAACTTTTCCCTACAACTATCGCATGCGACCTGTGTAAGTCATCCTTAACGACATGGCTACAACTGTCTTGAGGCTATTAAGCAATTGTTTAAAATCCATACGACAGTTGTAGCCATGTCGTAAGGATGACTTACGCAGGTTGCATGCGATGGTTGTAAGCAAAAGTTGTGTCGTCTAAATCGGCCTTTACTTAGTCGACCAAGTAGTTATACTGTAGGCTAAACGTTCTTAGAAAGAACACTCATCGTTCTGAATCCGACATTCCGGTTGATCAAACGTTCCAATTCATAGATGAGTAGAACTATTCATTGTTTTTAAAAAGCTGCAGGTGACCAATTAAAAAACCTAGAGAAATGTCATCAAAAATTCCAATACAAACACTGATCATTCGCTCTGGAACTGACATCGCTGATCAATTCGAATATATTGATCAAACGTTCGATCACTCAAATATTTTTCTATAATAATTATGTAGTAACTTAAAGTTAGTTCTTTAAGTAGAGCAAATTAAGTAATGTATTCCATGTCGAAAAGTTAAGTGGCCTTTAACTTTCGCGCAATTGGCACGGTGGGATCATCTACGTTCAAGAAATCAAAGACCAACAAGAAAAGCCAAGAAATTATAATATATCAGCGAATGTTGGCACTGGATTAAGAGTTTCCCCCCAGAAATTACTAGCTTCAACGTCGAAAACTTTTAGTGTGGCGTCCTTTTTCTTCAACAGCTAAAGAAGTGAAGCGAAGTTGGCCTTCAATATGTTGTTTTGACTACCTGACCTATCATAAACCTGCCAAGTTCATACTAAGAATCGACAAATGGTCTTGAGAGGTTAGCATTACCAACGCTTTCTARAGCTTTACCAGTAAAATAGTGTAGGAGAGTTAACTGGTCACAAGTGTCAAGCTTAAGACGAAATTATTTCTTTGAGTCCGCAGCGAATGGACCCCGGAAATCTTTGAAACAGATACCTTATCATAGTGGTCATCAATTTCATTTTTCCTGTCTTTACTGCTTCCATTTCATTGATGCGCATTGTCTACTTTTACATTATTTCTGGTTTGATATCGCCATTTAAAATCCTCGACCATCTTTTCTAAAGTGTTATGTGTTTTGAAGTGAGCTACGTATTGAGTATGTCCGATATTAGAGATATATGAGAAAGTTGGAGTCACTTTTACTCAAGACAGTTCTCCTATCAAACAATCGATTAATAACCAATTTTAAACGGTGCACTTGACGACATTCCAGAGTATCAAAGATTACGGTCACCCACAAGAAACTCTCAGTTTTATTCTTAGAATGGCAAAACTGTGGTTCATGTCGTCATTTGTGTGTGCGATATTCCTAAGTTATAAACTCTTTAATATATTTACAAACGAGGAATTTTATCTCATGAGAAGCAGTTCCACGAAGTTAGACTATGGTTCTGATATGCTAAAATGTGACATTGATGTACAAAAAGTTCTCGATAGAGTACAGCGTATTGATCTTGTGCGTAGCTTTCTGATGGAGAAAAAACAATTCTCCCCTAGAGAAAACGTGCTAGTTTTCGGCGTGCCTGGTGCATTGTCTGAATTGGTGGGCGCCGTTATTGGAGGAGAATCCGGGGTATTTTATTTACCTAGCGCTCTACAAAGCCGGGCATACTACATCAGCCATGACCCAACGCTCGCGATTCCAATAACAATAGACTTGCTTGAAAAGATTTTCAATTGTAACTTTGAAGATGAACTCCTTTTAGAGTCCTTGGTTCAGAATAGGACGGCTCTTTATGGGCTTAAGTTGCCATCGTGTGTATCATCCAGAGACAACATTTTCAAAAACACCTCTTATAGTAACGCCTGCACGGAAGAGGTTTCTGATTGGATGTCTAAAAAGTGTCGTCAGAATACCCTCACAGTTTTGCAGACCGATAAGCTCAAATCTATCTCTTATTTGGAAGTATTGACTACAGAAATCAAGTCTAGAAAGTTCAACATTAGAGTTTTGTACGTCGTTCGCGATCCCCGTGCAATAATCTCCGATACTTTTGAAGAATCGCAGCTAAATCTTGAAAAGGTACAAGTGTTCGTTGACAGAATGTGTACCAGGATGAGAATGGACTTGCAGATTGCACAGTCTTCACCCATATGGCAACAAGAGCGTTATAAGCTCGTTAAGATCGAAGAATTCATACGGAATTCAAGTGTACTGAGTGCAGCATACAATCATACCAATGAAAGCTTTTGGCAGGTGAAAATGCCTTCCAAAACAAGGCAAGTTGTAGAGCAGCGGTGTGCCAAAGTGCTTGATATGCTTGGATATTTGAAATAACCGAGTTAGCCATCGGATCTTTCTCTACTGTGATCGAAGGGACAGCAACACATCCTATACATTATAGCATCTGTCTTGAGCAAATTCCGAGTCTACACTGGGTGCAGTAGCCATTCAAAACTTGTAGAGCGGATTTCGTATGAGTGGGACACCGTTACCGCACGGTTACCGCACAGTTACCGGACCTGGCCTGCACAATTTTGGTGAACCAATGGGGCACTAGAATTTGGTTACAGTACGATTACGGTCACCGTACAGTACCGTCCGTTTCCCACTCATACGAAATCCGCTCTAGTGGTAGAGCTTCCATATGTGCCAAAGTGCTTAATATCCAAACCAATGGATTGTAGTTGTATCGCGTAAAACTAAACAAACAAACAGAGGATCATTCGCTTTTTTCTCTATAAAAGCATTGGAAAGAATCCCAAACTATTGTCAGAGTGGAATCCAGATTTTATCCGCGGAGAGGAGGTAATAAAAGATTACATGAGAAGAGACCATATTCACCGTAGTGGTGAATTCAAAAACACTCCAGTTGTATAGGTAATCATATATATGAAGAAGAGAGGAAGATCGGAGAAACTATAAATCCCTTCCTGGAATGTCTACAAAGACATAAATTCAAAGGAATTTCCAAACCACCAGTTGGTAGCGGTCGCACTGTCGTTGTTCACTATAAATCCCTTCCTGGAATGCCTACAAAGACATAAATTCAAAGGAATTTCCAAACCACCAGTTGGTAGTCGCACTGTCGTTGTTCACACATGTTGAGGCTCTGTTGACACCACTACGATAATATCCAAAACTGTCTTCACTGCCTACTGAACCCGGTACTAATGGAAAGCCACAGTATCCAGAACTGCCGTCTATATGGGGATGGTACCTGTTTCTTTGTTGCCATATTGGGATTTTTTGATTTGTAAATTCATGACCTCTAATGTTCAAAACAAGAGCTTTGAAACAGCTCCCTAATGTTGTTCCTTGTTTCATCGGATCAAATTCGCTGAAGGTCGCCAATACAAAGTCTGGTCTTATTCGATTGTTTTTTCTCTCAAAGCTGCATGTAGCTGAAAAGATGGTTGTTTTTGACCTCAAGTATTTCATCATTTCCAAGGAGAGTCTGTAGTGCGACCAGTTTGGAGCTGTGGGAGTTTGTGACGCTTCATCAAAGAAAGCTTTGCTGCGGTAGTGCAAATTATTTACAAATGCAAATGATTCAACTAATGTCCATGAGCTGTTAGCGAAAATGCTGCAATATACAGAAATCTCTTGACCATTATCACTGCGAGCTAAGACAAATATTTTACTTCTTTCTACATAACTTGGAGAAGCGTACTTGCGAATATCAAAGCACTCTGTAATGCGTTTCTCGCACACTCGCCCAGTGTATCTGTTCTGACATTCGCAAGTGAATTTTTCTAGTGGAGAATGACAACGTTCTACGCATGTCCCTCCGTTCATGCAGGGCTGAGATCGACAACATCCATTATAGCAAACACCTGGTGTTACCATGTGGGATGTCTAAAAAAAGAAGGAATTAAAATACGAAAGAAAAATATAATAGGAATAGATCGAAGGAATATAGATGACTATATAGAACTTTCATGTTTCAGTAAATCGACCAGTTGGTCTACTTTGGTTTCTGCAGTAATTTGTACTAATGTTGCATATCTAGAAGATGAGGAAGAAGGGAAGAAAAATATCGCTAAAAGAAATGACAAGGACAATAATATGTTCAATAACAACAAAGGAATCCCAGTGAGGATCACTGTAGGGGTCGCAAATTCCCAAACAATAATTTTAATTTGTTATTTGCTAAAGAAGGTATTTGCCTAAGTTGTTTTTGTGTATGTAACTGAATTCTAAATTTGGATTTTTCCTTTATCTTGAATATGAATTTACTTTCCATTTTACTGTTTTTTTTCCTGAAACATTTCGATTTTGATTTTATAATTGGAAACTGATGTTATTCCTTCAGGGCAAATATTTTGTGTTGAACTGATTCTCCAAGTAGATCATGAACGAGGATTGTGGCTGAAAATTAAATATTTGTTTAACCCTATCAGATATTGACACGAGATATATATTTGTGAAACTTTTGCACCCCGGAAGCGGTCGACCAATTTGTTGTGAGGATATTCTCTAAATCAAGTTAATTAGGATTGTTGTAATCGATAATACTCCTGAATATGAACTCACCCCTTGGTAAGAATGCTGATCCAAATCCATGTAGACGTACCCAGGGCCTGAATGAAAGAAAGCGGGCTTGAATGTTCGATCATAGTCCAACAACTCGCACACACCATCCTTCATCTGACAAGCGTTGCAGCGGCAATCTTGAATGCAATTTGCATAGCACACGTTTTGGTCATACGTTGTAA